TCATTAGTTTTTTCATTATGACACATGTCAAAGATATTCGTACTTGTTTCAATAGTCACTCAAGTGTTCTTAAAATATATCAAATGTTCTGAATTAGAAAAATGTTATAATTCTGTCAATTAGCGGAAGAATTTAATTAAAACTTCGAAGTGTCAAAGTTCATTTCATACTTATTGAAGCATTGAAAAAGTTGAAACTAACACTTGATACATATGACACACGTCAAAGTTATTCGTAATTGTTTCAATGTGTCATTTTGACAATATTATATAACCATAATCATTTGTTTTTTTTTTCATTATGACATATGTCAAAGTTATTCGTACTTGTTTCAATAGGTGTCGTCACTCAAGTGTCCTTAAAATATATCAAATCTTCTGAATTACAAAAATGTTATTATTCTGTTAATTAGCGGAAGAATTTAATTAAAACTTTGAAATGTCAAAGTCAAAGTTTATTTAATACTTATTGAAGCATTGCAAAAGTTGAAACTAAAACTTGATACATATGACACACGTCAAAGTTATTCGTAATTGTTTCAATATGTCATTTTGACAATATTATATAACCACAATCATTTTATTATTATGACATACGTCAAAGTCTTTCATAATTGTTTCAATATCGAAAGTTCTTAAAAAAAGTTGAATTTTCTCAATAATAAAATTGTTAATTAGTGAATGAATTTAATTAAAACTTTCAAAGTGTCGAAGCAAATGACTTTTAAAGTAATTTTTATATTTAATACTTTGTTGTAGCGTTGCAAAAGTTGAAATTGAAACTTGATACATATTATTTTCACAGATGAACAATATTACATTTTTGTATTATGACACACGTCAGACGCATTCGTAATTGTTTCAATAGGTATCATTTTGACACTATTACATAACCACAATCATTTTGTTATTATGACATACGTCAAAGTTTTTACTAATTGTTTCATTATCGAATGTTTCAAAAAAAAATTTAATTTTCTCAATCATAAAATTGTTATTATTTTGTTAATTAGTTAATTAATTTAATTAAAACTTTCAAAGTGTCGAAGCAAATGACTTTTGAAGTAATTTTTATATTTAATACTTTTTAAAGCATTTCCAAAGTTGAAATTAAAACTTGATACATATTATTTTCACAGATGAACAATATTACATTTTTGTATTATGACACACGTCAAACGCATTCGTAATTGTTTCGATAGGTATCATTTTGACAATATTATATAACCACAATCATTTTATTATTATGACATACGTCAAAGTCTTTCCTAATTGTTTCAATATCAAATGTTCTTCGATTATTGAATTATTATTTTGTTAATTAGTGAATGAATTTATTTAAAACTTTCAAAGTGTCGAAGCAAATGACTTTTGTAGAAATTTTTATATTTTATACTTGTTAAAGTTGAAAAAGTCTCAATATTAACAATATTATATAACTGCAAATCATTCTTTATTATGACATACGTCAAAGAGTTTCCAGATTGTTTCAATAGCTGTCAATCGAAGTGTCAAAGTCAATGACATTTGTGAAAGTTGAAACTAAAATTAATACGATTTCACAGATAAATCAAATATATACAAAATATATACAAAAAATTAATTGAAACTTACATGAAAATCAACAAAGTGTAAAGGTGATTCACGTTATGATTTCATTGATAAGAAACGACAAAGTAAATATGGCAATATTTGCATGCGTGTAAATAGAATTTAGATGTAATTTGGTAATCGCAAGATAAAATATTGACAGTCTCTATGATATATATATCCTAGAAAGCCGACGCCAGAGTTGATCAAAAGTAAATAAACGTTGTAGAGTACAGGAAATGCAAATTGAAAAGTCAATAAATATGACGACGAATTGTTAGATTATGTAATTATTACTCTTAATTTGCTGTAATTAGAATAATAAAATACGTTGCTTTATTACTGAGAACTTTAGTATCTTAAATATATGTAGATTAGTTAGTTAATTGAATAATTACATCATCTTGATTTACGATATTTTGATGATGAAGATTTTAAGAGATTTTGAAAAGTTATTGTTGTTGGGAATTGTTGGTCTTGAACAATAATTAATTAGTTCGAGTGTCATTTTGACAATATTATATAACCATAACCATAATCATTTGTTTTTTTTTTTCATTATGACACATGTCAAAGTTATTCGTACTTGTTTGAATAGGTGTCGTCACTCAAGTGTCCTTAAAATATATGGATTTACAATATTTTGATGATGAAGATTTTAAGAGATTTAGAGAAGTTATTGTTGTTGGGAATTGTTGGTCTTGAAACAATAATTAATTATTTCGAGTGTGATGACATTAGAGGTAATGGTGATTGGCATAATATCGGGGGTCGAACGAAGGCCTCCCGCATCGAAGATCGTGTCGGGCTTTGATGCAATCAAGGACCCGACCCGGGTCGACGTCGACGGGAGGTCCAAATTGTGAATCGCCGTACACTATGTAGTATTCGAGAGTGGAACGGAGATAGGAAAAAAAAAAGTATGTATATCAAGTATGGAAAAGCCGGAGCCGACTTTGTTATTTATTAATCCGGAGAACATTCCTCGCCATTACGCACCATGACTGTATGAAGTGTACTGCTCTCTTCCTCTCTCATAAGTTAGATCGTATTAAATTGAAAAGTAAGCAAGATCTATTGATTCAGGTGGAAGTTAGAGGAGGAGATAGCTCGAGTTTACTTACTAATAAAAAATATAAATGTTATCTATGCTTTCGTTTCCAGGGTGCTGAGCGACAACGACAAGAAGCCGTTCATCGAGGAGGCGGAAAGGTTGAGGGTCATCCACAAACGCGAGCATCCGGATTACAAGTATCAGCCGAGGCGTAGGAAGCAGAACAAAAGTCCGGCAGGATCGGATCAAAGTGGCGGTGGACATCAAGGTGGAGGAAATCACGGACCCAACATGACGTTCAGGTCGTTGAAGCAGGAGGATTCTCCGATGAGTTTGAGGAGCAACTCGACGTCTCCGTCGAGCTGCGATCCGCACAGTCCGCCAGCGAATCACCAGCAAATCAGGACGCCCTCGTGTCTGGATCAGAGTCCGGCCGTGGATTTCGGTGACATCGAGCAGGCGTCCTTCATTCCCGACGACCTCGACAGCAACGATCTCGATCAGTATTTGGAGAACGGGAACGGCATGTACCACCATCAGAACTACCAGAGCTACAGGCAACAGCATCAGCATCAGGAAGACGTCGAAACGAACAATAATCATCATCATCAGCAACACCACCATCACCATCACAGCATCAGCAAAGCGAAAGGGTTGCAGACGCAGCAGGATTACGCGTCGCGATACCACGAACTCCAACCGAGCGCCTCGTCGATCATCAAGAACGAACGTTTCCCATCGCCCACCGAGCAGATCTACTATCCACCCAACCTTGTCGCAACAACCAACAACTTCTACTCATCCGCAACCCCGTACTTACCCCCGTATCAGTATTTGCCGCAGAAATCGCCCGTCTTCAACGCACCCGTCAACTCCTACCAGGTGGACACGACGCCATCTCTCGAATGGAACGGCTACATCTAATCAAAAAAAAACAAAAACAACCCCCAACAAACACCAACCCCGAAAATGAAAAAACCCTTACTTTCCTTTTAAATTTAAACGAACAAAAAAAAAAACATTTCTATTATTATTAATATTATTATTACTAGTTATTAAGCGAAATATATTTTTTATTAATTAAATAAACAAACGAAAAAAAAAACAACGAGAAAATTCTCTTTACTTTTTTACTCTTTCAGGCAAAACGATGATAAAATCCAGATGTGTGGGCAATTAAAATGTGTCACTTTGAAACTTCGCTTCAGTTGTTTCTTCTTTTCTTCTCTCTCTCTCTCTCACATTCATTTCATTTTTTTATTTCGCAACAGTTGATGCTGAACGTTGCGTTCTTCTCTCGCTCTACTTTAAATAAATTGCGTTTTGGTTAGGAGGGAATCGCCTTCAGGATACTTTGCTTGCTTCGCGGAAATTAATCGCTCGCGTTCTCAGACCAAAACAGAAAAATAAAAAAAAAATAAAGTCGATGCGAAAATACATGGAGTGTAAATTGTTTATGCAAGAGCCACAGAATCGATGCGGTAAGTAAGTATATATAACATTATGTGACAGAGCCAACTTTGTTACAAAGTATTAATTTATGTATTTGTATTACAATAATTCATATTTTCGAACAAATTTAACTAATTTTAACTAAATTTTGTTTGAATACGCTAAAGTTTTGAAGATTTTGCTACTTTAGACATAAGTTATAAACATAAAGTCAATTATTTATCAACAGATATTGTTTTTTTTATGAAATAATTCAAAGCAACTTCGATTAGAATTTCTTATGTGGGAATTCTTCACTTTTTTCTCTCTTAAGAAATCTTGATTTTCATACGCAATTTTATGATTCCAAAGAACTTTTAACTCAATTTTCAAAAATTACTTCAGTTTTGTAAAAAAAAAACTCAATACTTTTAGGTTTCGTTTGATAAATTTGATGTGAAAGTTATTATAAATCTTAATAGATTTGTTTAATTAATTTGTACTTCCTTTTTGTAAATTAAAAAAAAATATTTCTACTGTTTCTACTAATTGATAGTTTATATTCAAAATATTTGTTCTAAAACTAAAGCAAATACATTTTTTCTTAAATATAATTCTTGATAAAACTGGATTAAAGTAATCTCCAAAAGTGTACATAATTGGCGTCACTACGTCTCTTCTCATCATCTATGGAATTGCTTTGCATCATTTTCTTCAAATACTCATATTTTTTTTTATCACATATTTACATTTCACAAACAATTTATCTCGTTTCTATTTCATATTTCAATTACGATTCGTAGTAATCTCTATTTTTATGAATGAATGAATAGAATAGAATAAACAAACGTTGCATTTAGTTAAGGTAACTTTAATCACAAGTGTCATAAAAGAAGCGTTACTATTTTCTTTATCTGCCATTTTTATTCTGGTGAGGTTATGTTAATTTTTTTGAAATATTCGTATTTAATAAACAATCTAATTTTGTTTTAATTATAAATTATTATTGTGAAAGTTTATTAACAGAAAATATGATAAATATTTGGTCAGAAAAAAAAAATGACAAGAAATTTTATTACAATTTAATTCAAATTTCATTGTTTTTAGTACCGAGAAGTATATAATTCAATAAAATCAAGTAATTGCAAGGTAACAAACCTTACTTAGTAATTAGTAATTAAATTAACATTGTATTAAGATATTTGTGTTTATTATAGATAATATTCTCTTTTTTTTAACTGTAAAAATGTAACAAAGTTTACACTATTATTTTGTTCTTAGTATTAAAGTATTATTATAGTCGACTGTTTCAAAGGGCTCTTGATATTAATATTAACGTGAAATGTAGCAGTAAATAAAACTTTTTTTTTTGGGGTAAAAACTACTGAATTTTTTTTTTTTTATTGATCTTCTCATCTGGGAGGGAGAAAAATTCCCCCCAAACGATGTTCTTCCGTGGGTTGTAAATCAAAGAGAGGCGCCTTTGTGCATCGAACTCATCTGCTTAATGTATTTACAATGGTAAGAGAGAAAGAGATTTAACGATGTTTATTGAATACGTTCGGTGGAGAAGTCGAAAACGGATCGTAAAAACCGGCTACTTGTCAGCAGATACGACGTTCCTTTTATGGATGTAAACAATTGGAGGACTCCGGGCGCATCATAACAAACGATGGTTGACTTTTAATACGCACACTTGATAACTTATTTATAAATTTGGGAAAACATATAAAAAAATACATAAAAGCAGTTTATACAAGTTTAATTTGTTTGTAGAAAACCAAAGTTATTAAGATTTGTAATTAAAAATTGATATTTTCATATGGATTAAGAAAAACAACAACAAAATTCTAACTTTGTTTGATAATTAAATGAAACTATAATTGATGAAAATCTACTACAATTTCATTGTTAATTTCATGAAAGTTTATCAAACTTTTGCATTGAAAAAAAGTCAAATAGAAGCGAGAAGATATTGGATTATTTCTACTTTGATTGAAAATTGTTTAAACTTAAGATTCGTTAAGAATTTTCTACAATTTCAGATGAAATTAAAATACATCTTGAAATTTCAAGTTCAATTTTCGTATACAAAAAGATAAATAGATGTGAGATGAAATTTTAATTTTGATAAAAAAAAATCATAATTGTTTTAAATTTGTTACAATTTCAGTTTGTAATTTCATGAAAATACATCAAAATTGCTTCAAATATTCAAGTTCAATTTTCGTATACAAAAAGGCAAATAGATGTGAGATGAAATTGAATTATTTCTATTTTGATTGAAAATTGTTTAAACTTAAGATTCTTTAGGAATTTTCTACAATTTCAGTTTCTAATTTCATGAAAATACATCAAAATTGCATGAAATATTCAATTTTTGTATACAAAAAGGCAAATAGATGTGAGATGAAATTTCAATTTTGATAAAAAAAATCATAATGGTTTTAAACTTGTTACAATTTCAGTTAATCAAACTTTATTTGCAGCAGATTTACGATCAATTTAAAGTTTAGTTTAAATTGATTCCTGAATGTGAATGATCTTGAAATGTGTTTTGCATGTAAGTTTTTGTAAGTTTCTTCACTTCATTGATGCGTTTTTCCTATGGATTTCAGTGGAATCATATGTACGGAGAGAAATTATGTTATAAAAGAAGAAACGGCGAGATAAGTGAAGCAGCGCACGAAAACAGGATGTGTAAAGAAAATGTAATAATATTCATTGGGTCAAAGTTATTAAACCGAAGAAACATGATTGACTGCGAAAGACGAGCGATAAAGATGATAACACGCGCGCACACACACAAATCGAAGATGCGGTTAGTGAGGAGGAGAAGGAGGAGGAAGAGATGTTGATGATGGAGACGTGGGAGGAGAAGTTTCAGCTCGTCCTCGGTTCTGTTCATGGCGGTATAAGTAATTAAAACCAAAAGGCCGGTCAGCAGATTCCAATTCCAAACTGCCTCTGCCGACAATTATTCCCCTGACCGGAAGTGCGTCGGAGATAAGCCTACCGCTCGTCCGCCTTCACCTCCTCATCATTCCCATCATCCTCAACATCAACATCGTCGTGCAGCATGGTTTTCTCGGAACTCGCGCGCGCCGCATTTAAATCTCTCTCCATTAGTCCAATCCCATATTTCTTTTTTCAATTTATTACTCTTTCCATTACGCTGCAATCTTAATTGGAATCGCAACAGAATCCGCCGTCTCCTTTTCATCTTCGTCATCCTCTTGTGTCTTGTAGTAAAACTTGTCACCAAGTCGAAAAACACACTGTTTTCCTTACCGTTTCTCGAACCTATCAAATCCATTCATTCATTCACTTTTTTGTTTGTTTCTATCGTGGAACAACCAACACATGGCCCACCCATATATATATGTGATCTTAAATCGGTTGTAACGGAAGACACCTCCGATTCTGCAAACCCTCAAAACGTGTCAATCAAATTTGACGTCTTCCTCACTCGACGACGACGCGTCTTAATTGTGTGTAATAGATATTTCCTCCGCTCGGAAATTTCAAACAAAACTCAATACACCCATAATATCATTATCAATAATCGAAAGTCATTTCAGGCATTTCTTCTTCTCTTTTCTTCTCACACACATGTGAGAGAGTGTGAGAGAGAGAGAGAGAAAGAGAGTAAACACACTGATTCTCAATTCTAGGATGAAGATGAAAACACTTGACCCTCAGCGCGTCTCTCCATCATCATCTTCATCATCATCGTCGTCGCCGATGAATACGCCTTAATCGGTGGTGATACGTTCTTTGGGGGTGGCCGAAAGACTCAGTAAGAGAGCGCAATTAAAACCGCATTCTTGTAACTTTAATATAAACGCATTGAACGATCGAAGAAAATCGAAGAGATTCCTATATACGAGATTAACTGTCTCTTCATGCGCTTTCAACAATAACAACTGGAAATGAAAATTTAAAGTTAAGAAGGCTCAATTATTAATCTTTATTTAAATTTCTCATTTTAGAACGCGATTGACCGTTTTATGAATGAATTCACAACAATATTTGAATACTTTTGGATTCATTACAGTTTCTAATATATAAATTGAACTGGAATCTGTGGTAAATAAAATGTGATGATGTTTCATGAAATTGTAAACTGAAATTGTAGATAATTTCCAACGAATCTTATGTTTACACAATTTTCAGTTAAAATAGAAACACGCATATTACAAAAAAAAGTTGATGCAACTTTGACTGCAGATTACAAGAAATTAGTAATAGCTGAAAATAAACACGTATTAAAGCCTGGATATCTGAGATTACGTAAAGTACTCAAACTTGTAATAAGTTTAAGTGATTGTCGAGTTATACAACAAAATGTGAAGACACTGGATTTTCAAGTTTATTAAATTTTAACCGCTTATTACAAAAAAAAGTTGATTCAATTTTGACTGCAGATTACAAGAAATTAGTAATAGTTGCATATCTGACAATAAGCACATATTAAAGCCTGGATATCGGAGATTAAGTA